TTATTGCTATATTTATAATAATTCCTTAATAGGAGACACCCTGTATATGTTGGCCCTCTTAGAACATTTTTATACATTTAAATACATTCACAATTTTTTACCAATAATGACTTGTTTTCACAAAATAAATCGATGGATATACTATACTGGAATCTCAGAATCTATAGGAAATAAAGAAATGACTAAATGTGGACAATTTTAGATGATTCTGTTATTAATTCAATGGTGCTTGCAGACCAGTTCTAGTTCTATTTGGGCTTGGATATATTTAAAAAGAAAGAGCATTTTAGAAAATTTACTGTAACATTTATTTTTTACGAATTTTTGAAATCTGTAAAAACATTATTGCAGCAACTTTTTTGCAAGGAATTTCACAGTGGTTTTGATTTTGATAAACGTTATGTCAATACTGCAAGCTATTCATTTTCCTACCTACTTTCTATTGTCTAAAAGACAAACTTGATCAAAGTTATTTTCAAGATAAAACGTTTTTTAGGTTTTTCTATGCAAGATTTTCTAAACCAAGCTTTTGTTTCAGAACATGAACGTCGTAGCCCTGCCAAGGGACCAATACGGCACCTTCTACGACACTGAATCCTACGTCGTCTACGCCGCATCCCAATACGGCCAGCAGTGTGGGATTGACACTGTTGTAAGTACCTACGCCAATTCTATTATCTATGTTACGTTATGCGTCATCCAGATGATGTTTTGTTTGGTAAACAATTCTTTCCTCAGAACTGCATGCAAATGAAGCAAGACGTCTTAATAGACGTACGGTGGTCTTGGTCTATGACTTCGTGGGAAACCAACTACTTCTCGTTAAAATAACAATAAATATTGTTGTATTCTATTACTGCTGTATAAGACAACAGTTAGTAACTGAATAGGCATTATTTAAGTTAGTTCTAAAAGAAAAATGTTTGTACACCGTTGATACTGTATTGTAGTATTTTTTGGATGATATCTTGAACATTAACTGGATTTTAGGTATAAATTCTAAATACATACTATTTTTTCAAAAATAACTAGGTTATTTGAATAGAGTATTGAACAAATTAAAAAAAGTGACATAATTTTTTTGCAATTGAAAAATTTTAGGAAATATTTACAACTTGGATATTCAATAAATTTGATATAACCAGTAAATACTATTTGCCAAATTCAGACAAGTCAGTGGCGGAACTACCATACAGCAAAAGGGAACAGTACGGGGGCCTAGGCCACTAAACCGACTAATAAATTAATACTTTTAATAGGTATATTGTGAAGAAACAAATTCAATACTTCCCAGGACTAAGGAGTGTGGAGAGATTGAGATTGTAAATTCGAACATATAAAATTTCGGTGACACTAAAGCAAGTAATATTGGAAAATTGTATTTTTTATATGTGATTCATTAAGAATGGCAAATCTCGTATCTAGGAATATCAGATAATAAAATATTACATCTGGGTCGACAAACATGCCTAAAAACAAATATTGATGGTTTAAGTGATACCAGGATGCAGAAAATTAGAATTTGATTTTGTTTTTAAATGTTTCAATGCACACCTATTTTTTTTTCTATTACTAAGGCCGGATTTACTAGCTGTCAGAATAATTATTTCTTAATTTAATCTGTCTCTCTTTTTTTATGTACAGGGTAGGAAAGTACCGATGGTCTATCTGAAGTTACGTGAGAGCGATAAAGTAAGCCATAGAAATCCATGCGATAGAGAAGGATAGCTATAATGAAGGCGTCTCATAGTCACCGCCCGTTTCGCCCTTCCACAAATAAGATCCACTTCTTATTTGTGGAAGGGCGAAATGGGCGGTGACTATTAGACGCCTTCACTATACCCATCCTTGTCTATCACATGGATTTCTATGGCTTACTTTATCGCTCTCACGTAACTTCAGATAGACCATCGGTACTTTCCTACCCTGTATATAATTCTTATGAGAAGTTAATTGGCAAATAAATTAGTGGTGGAAAAACCAACCCTTAGGTATTCCAGTTTCATAAAAAAAAGAAATTGGGTTCAATTAGGGATTGTGAAAAAGGCTGAAATTGGGAGGGGGAAATAGGGAGGCCTAAATTTTGAAGCTTCGTCACTGCTGAGAAAAATGAAGAATTATAGTAGGTAGAGTCAAAAAGTAGTAAAAGGTTAATAAATACAAAACAAATTAAAAGGATATCAGCAAAAGCGAGGCCACTTGTTATTTGAATTGAAAATTGGGATAATAAAATGAAATTTTTGAAAAGTATTTTAACAAAATTTATATAATCAAGATCACAATGTACAAACACAAATCAACAAACGGGAAAAAGTTTATTTAAAATAACAAACAAAGAGAATCTTAAATTTTCACGAACAGAAACTAAATTTCAGTTCTCTATAATTAAAACACTATCATTTAAAATCAGATTTAGAACCAGACTTTGAAATAAAAACATTATTTTACAAATTCACTTCAGATTCCTTGTTTTATGCTTCTTATTCCAAATCAACATTGCCGTAATCTGAAAAAACTGGAATTTTCAAGAAATTTAATAGATTTAGAAACATCAGAAAAATCTCAGGGGGTATCAAATTTCATGGGATTTTTTAAAACTCCAATTGTAATTGGTTTTTATTTATGAGGTGCTGTTACTGGGAGCTGCTTTGCTAAAAAATTCGTTCCTGCAACACTTTGATTCTGCAGCCTGCGTCGTTATGTTTTATATTTGATTGCATTAAATTAGTTTAAAGCCTAGTTTATACATTATTGACCAAAAACTTCACCTATTTTTCAAATAATGTTACTTTCAATGTCATTTTCTTGTAAACCAAAAATCCCACATGTTTATCCTTGTTTAGTATTCAGACAATTAAAAAATTACTAGAAGAAATTTCTCTCTAAATCCGTAAATGGAAATGTTTCCCATTTGGTGCAAATTTTATGGCGGATACTGTACTGTACTTTTGATATAATCATATTTTGTTGAATATTTACATGTAAGATACTGACAAATAAATAATAATTAGAGAAATGATAGTCCCTAAAACTTACCATTTATCTATATACATGGAAAACATGGAAACATCAGAGAATTTCTTGAACAAAATTTGCGGCATACCTTGTTTTGATCATCCTGAACGTAATTAAGATCTTTAATAGCTTGTTCTAAAAGCAGAAATGGTCTAATGATTTTTTTTTAAATTTTTTTCCCGTGATCAATTTTTATATATATTTTGGACCTTAGATTTAATTTTTTCACATTGATTGATTCCACATCGTCTGATTCATACATTGAGCATACAAAATTTCGACTCAATTCATTTACTTAGAAGATTTTTAGACAATCTTTTTTAACTCCACTATCCTTTATCTTAAACATCAAGGCTTCAGGGCAAATGCATCAATGAAACTATTCTCAAATTTGAAAAGAACGCTCTGTTATTTTTGACAAGTTGTTGTTTCACATCCTGTATACCTACCTTAGTTTTTTCTATATCTTCCATTATCAGACTCGAGAAGTGAAAGGTGGTTGTATGGAGTACCACATCCATTTTTGGCTGGGGTCTCGCACAAATCCAGACAAATCTGGAGTGGCAGCATACAAAACCGTCGAACTGGATAACTTCCTGAACTGTTGTACAACTCAACATCGCGAGACCGAGGGAAATGAAAGTCCTAGATTTTTAAGTTTCTTCAAGAATGGCCTCAGGTGAGTAATTAATAGCAAAATAAGAATGTTTATGTTTTAACATCTAAGTGTGTTTATATTTTAATGGTAGATAATATGTGTTTATGTTTTACTGTACGGCGTTTATAACTCTGTTAAAACGGAAATGCATTAAAGAAATGACACACTTGCAACAGTAACATGTTCTAAATTTGAATAAACCTGGTTCAGTCGGTCTAAAAAATCTACTAATATCTAGCACATAGGTATTAGGTATAGTTTAATTAAATGGACCTTTATATCGCAATTTGGTCAAGTTGCCTGAATTTTTTTATATAAGTTAGTTTGAGGTAGGTATATAAAAAGAATAAGCGACAGTAATTTTTTTTCAACCCCTGACCAGGGGTGAAAAAAGTTAAAATAAAGTGGTTTTTTAAGATAACTCAAAAGTGGTAAGAGCTAGAAAGAAAAGTTTCTTATCAAAGTTGTAGAGCATAAAATTCTACATAAAAATGGTCAATTGACTTTTTGTGTACTATTAAAACTAACAAAGCTAGGGTGGCTAGGTTATGGTAAACATTATAAAAACAAAGAAAATTTAACAAAAAATTTTATTGCAATTAAGGTATAGCCAGTGGAAGTAATTCCAAGTTTTTATAAAGAACCTCAGAAAATAAAATAATACGAATAATTAACTTTAAAATAATTTATGTATTAATAAAAATATACCAACAATCAACGCAAAAACTGTTTTTAATTATTAGGTTATTTCCTGTGTCTTTGAGTGGTAGTGCCAGTTTCATTTCGATAATTATGTATTATTCAAATATATTCTTGACTAGAACTAAAGGATATGCGTTACTTGTTGACATGTTTTTGTGTTTCTTTGGAGCATTACACCCATATCTTTATTTATAAGGTATAGTGGTTTATTTGTGGATATATTTACTAGAACGTTTGCATAATATATAACAACCTCCTTTCACACATTATGAGTAGAACAGGAACATACGTACAGGGTGTCAAACATTATTGAGTCAGTGCTACTTTTGTCCAGAACCGAATGAAAAAGCTAATACAAAGGTAAACTGAAAAGTACACAGAAAACAATGTCACTGGTTACAAGCGTAAATTCTTAACAAATTTGTTGATAATAATTTCACCACTGTAAAAATAATCACAATGTAAAGAGCGAATTTTCACATAATCTGTTCTGTCTCCATTTTAGGGACAATTCTGTGAATTTTCATTGTTTCTTTCATAAACTCGTGTAACTTATCTAAAAACATACCTATTTAAGTTTCAGAGTTAATTGAAAATTGTCAAAAAAGCGTAATTTGACTGTAGATCATGAAATTCAAAAGCTAAAAGTAGGTGCAATTATATGTTTCATAAGCAAACTATAAGTATTTATCTTAACTGTAAAAAATCTTTACTCTTTCTAAAAAATGAAAATACACCTATAAATGGAGGTGTTTTAATATTAATTTGAAATACATATATTATGAATGAAAATATAGTGGCACTGTTTAATTATACAGGGTATTTGTAGATAAGTGCGAAATATTTTAGGGGTGGTTCCTGAAGCTATTTTGTGAAAAAAAGTTCATATAAACGTAAATCGAAATATACTTCGTTTCTGAGAAAAAGATTGCGAGAATGCCACAACCTTAAAAAAATGGTACGCCACTGGGTTTTTCCTGCTTTGATATTTTTTTTAGAAATCCGTCATCAATTCTGAATGAAGTTGGCGCTGTCAATTTTTTTCGTAGGATGCACCGTTTTTGAGAAAAAAAATAAAACATATTTGATTGTATGTTTTGTTAATCTTTTATTTAAAGGTGGAGGTAGAAATATTCGGATCACTCCAAAACATACACATTTACTCCTCCAAAGCGGTTTTCAAATTTCGAATCAATATCTTCAATCCTCTTTGAAATAATTGATAAAAATAAATAAAAAATTGAAATTTAAACACTGTATCTCGGAAACGAAGCATATTTCGACGTACGTTTAAATAAACTTTTTTTATAAAATAACTTCAGCAACCACCCCCTAAAATATTTCCCACAAACACACACACTCCCTGTATAATTAAAGCACTTTTAATATTCTTGTCGTCAGTCTAAGTAGGTATACAGTACTTCTTCGTAAAATTTTTAATTATTATAGCAATTACCTTAAAAAAATCTCTTACACACGTTAAATGTTAAATGTTTTTTGATTATACGTATTAAATTCTATGCACACTGAAAAATGTAAGGAAATGTATTTTTTGAAAATAGATTTCAATGCTGAGTTAGAACAGAAACCTTTCATATAGGATGGTCCTTAACTACGTACTTTTAGATAATAAAGGAGGTAATTCAACATTACTTTGAAGAAAGAAAACAGGATGTTAAATTAAAAAATATATATTTTTGTCTTTATAACAGAAACCGAAAGAAATAATTTAATGAAATTTTGTACGTTGCAGTAGTTCTTAGAAACCTTCATTTCTGATTTATCAAATAATTTTGGAAACCGCCAATGGCGTAGGTAAGGGTATGTAAGTATATTTATTGAGAAAAAATGGTAAGTCACTGATTTTTTTCAAATTTTGAAGGCATATCCTTATTGTTTCATTAAAAACAAAAAAATTAGTTTCCCTTAAAATTTTGCTAAAATAATATTTAAAGGGGGGCTCTGAAAATTACGAATAGTATTTATTTTAACATCTTAAATCAGTATTTTTTGCTGTTTAGGAAACTAGATATTACTATTTTTATAAATTGATGCCACTCTTTACAAATTCAGAAGTGACAGATACAAGTTCCGTTTATGGCCTTGCAGCAAAGCACATCGAATTTATTAGCATAGATGTCCCCACTAATTTCACTTCGTGCAAACATCCACCAACGGCTATAAGAGACTAAAACTTTCGTGATTTTGTAATATGTACTGATGTCATTGCAAAACCTAAAACAGTCGCAACACCTCATTTAGAAAGTGCCGTACTTTAATGAACTATATTATGGCCAAACGGAAAAAAAGTATTTGAAAAATTGATGCTTTGTTGATTGTAGGTGACCAAACAATTTGAAAGATTATGAAATATTATCAGTTTTATCCATATCTATTCAGTGTGCACAGATTATTCCCATATGATTCCATATAAAATTTGCACAACCGTCAAAGGGCATATGAAAATTCTTACGCGACAAAAATCGTTTCAATCATTGGAGATTACCTTATTGGACCAATCTTTCTTCCATTAAGATTAGATGATACATACAGCGGCTTTATAGAAAATCAATTGCCGGTCCTTATTGCCGTTGTTCCACTTAATTTGCGATACCGTTTGCGGTTTATGCATGATGGAACACCACCTCATTTCAGTTTAGTAACTCGGGAATATCTTTACGAAGTTTATCAAAATAGTTGGATAGGCTTAGGCAGAGACGCGGTTCAGACCAGCCAACCGTGGCTCCCTAAGCCGTTGGACTTATATACTTCCTTAGGAACAGTCGAAAATTTTAGCATTGATACGAATACGTAGACTGACGATGTGTAGGGTCTAAGAAAGCACATAAGAGAATCGCGAGAATACTATTTGAAGCACTGTCGGTATTCTTGACGAGTACCTACGTCAGACGATAAACATATGTATATTAGGACTGTTAATGTTATTAGTGGACACTATCAATAATAATGTTTGGTAAGTATAAACATTTTAATTTCACGAGTTAATTCTTTCGCAACTCGTTTGAGAACGACTGTTCCTAACTAAATTTTAAAAGAGTTAAAATTAATTTTCTGTTTTTAATAAAACTATAAAGACTTGCCTTAAAATTTTGGAAAAACCAGTGGAGTACCATTTTCTTAACAAGTACTCCATTAGATAAAATATTTGATGTCAGAAATAAAAGTTTCCAGGAACTATAATAGTAGTGAGGGTTGCCTTCGCTGTACAGCAAAAATAAAACGCTCTCTCAACGGTATAAATAAGGTGTTTTTATTGAAAACTAAGCTTGTGAAAAAGACGTGTTGTCGGTTTGAGGGTTCGCTGGAGAGTCTCCCTTGGTGTGGAGTCGCTGGCAGAAGTACCTGGTCCTTGGCGCCAATCTGCCGGGGTCGTCTTCCGGGAACCTTGGTGCGTCTGGGCGGCGCCTCGCTGGCGCTCTTGATATTGTACTTAAAAAGGGGTCACGTGCGAACATGTGTACCCACAGTAGGTATACAATATTTCAATTAATTATCTCTTCCGGTTCATGTTACATAGACAAGAATCACTTTCTTTTTCTGAAATTTAACACCCTGCAACTTGGAAACTAAGCCGCATATGACATATACCATATTAACTTTTTTATTGAGATTAACTGAGGAATCACCCCCTGTATCATCGAAACGTACTTATGAACCACCCCAGGTATATACTTGAAGTCTATTGGGTAGAGTACCATTTTTACTTTATGTATATGTACATATATACTTTTTTTTCATATTACAAATATTTGGTATACGAAAGCTGCAAAAAATTTTAAATAATAGTGTAGAAAAAAATTTCGATATCAGTCTTTAAAAAATAGCCATCTAAGTAGTTATTTACACTGTTTTTTAGAATATTGAAACCTGAGCTTATTCAGAACAATCAAAATTTTCAAGCGAGGCTCTACAGAGTGAAGGGAAAGAGGATACCGGTATTGACAGAAATGCCAAAACTGTCGTGGGACTTTTTCAACAGTTCCGATGTCTTCATAATCCACACACCAAAAAACATCTTCGTTTGGATTGGTAGAGCAGCCAATGCCATCAAAAAATTACACGCAACCAAAGTGAGTGTTTGAAAATATCTTCTTCAAACGTTAGGAAGTTATTCCTTTATGTTTAATTTGAATTGAGTTGTACTACTTTTACATAATGCTTCCAGATTTCAACAGACTTGAAAGACGAATATAAAGTCAACAACATCATATTCCTAGACGATGGTTATGAAAAAACTTTATCTGATGATATGAGGAAAGAGTTCAGCAAATATTTGCCACTAGAGAAGAGAATGATCCTCCCAGAGAATCAGGATGGGGATGAAAATGGAAACTACCAAAGATCTTCTATAAAATTGTATAAATGTTCAGAAAATAACGGAAAATACAGAGTGGCAGAAGTCGGTGTCGGCCCTTTTCATCCCTCAGATTTAAATCCTGATGTGAGTAAGAGAAATTTGTAACTCAGTAAACAATTTTGTTATTCCTATGGGCTTATATGCTTATATTTTCATTTAATGTCTATTGCAATTCTCTTTTGTCATATAAATCATTGATATAATTACAATT